CCGGTAATATAAGGGAGTGAGTGCATGTTTGAGTTTGTGGTGTGTGTCAGGAAGGTGGATACAGATTAATTATATGGAGGCGAGCAGGGTCAATTTAGAAGAACAAATAGCAGCATGGATGTTTGTAGTAACAGTGTGTGAATATGTTTAGTAAAGACATGTCACACTTCAGAAGCCCTGGTCTGCAGGAGATATTTAGGCATTTTTGAGGACAGATAAACAGTGTTTAATTCAGGGTCACATTTTTCAAATCAAGCCGTAATACAAAACTCATATGCCCAGTTGATATGAGGCGGCAGCAGTCTGAGATAAACAAATCAAATGGCTCTCTTTTAATGTCTTGACTGGATGGGAATGAACCTTGTGAGTGCATAATGTGTCACTAGTAGCCTCGTCAGTCCAACGAAAGGTGACACAGCACCCAGTGTCCTACAGTGGGAACACGCCGTGCAGCAGTCTGTCACCCATACCGGAATCCAGTCCCGGGTGAGCGGAGTGCCGCAACATATACTGTAGTTGATGCAGTAAAACCACAATTGCCAACCTCATTGTGGTGTTAGAGGAAAAGTCAGGGAATCACCAAAGTCATTAGGATTCATCATCTAGGCAAAATGAATGTCTGTACAAAATGTCATTGCAATCCATCCAGTAATAGAGATATTTCAGTTTGAACAAAAGTGGTGGACATCTCCATCCTTAAAAATGTGAAGGGTTTGTGTTTGTAGTCTTTGCAGGATGTCAAGCGTTGAATTACCGGCCTCCTCTTTTATGCTCCATCATTCTTCCTCCCTATCTCCTTATATTCATTTATTTCCTCCCCCCCCTCGGTCGAGCTGTCTCGATGCAGTTTGCAGGATTAGTGGAGACAAAGAGAGATTCAGCAGCCGACTCTTGCTGAAGACAGGAACAGAAGGAAAGACTGTTGTTCTCTCAGCAGGCAAAGATACTAATGCCTCTCTAAAGACTATTGTCTCTTATAGATTACTCCTTTTCCTGTGTCATACTGAATAAAAATCAATCGAAATGATGGTTTACCGTCAAGAGATTAACTATTTAACCGCTGCACAAAGTCTGATGGAGTCAGTGGATAGATGGAGAGCAAATTTACCCACAGACACACACAGAATCATGTTAGGACTATCTTATCAGCTGAACATAAAAAGTAAACAAGTCATAACTACTTGGACCCAAGTATACAGGGCTCCAAAAGTCTGTCACTGTTGACCCTGTTTACGTGGCGTGGAGTTCACTAACAATCCACATGTTGATATAGATGTGCATGTTCTCCCTCATGCCTACAACATCCCCGGCCACTGCATAATTCAGGAGTCAACTCTATTGGGCTTGTACAGTGCGTGCTATAAACCCAACTGCAGAATGGAACCAAGATAGCAGAGAATGGGAATATAAGTGTCCTGCTTGATTCTTCCCTCTATTTTTTTTCCCTCAATATTTTTATTTTTTTTGTGAGCGTTAGTATTCCCTGTGCAATAAGAGGTAGGATCCCAGTCAGTGTGCTGGTGGAATTGCATGACTGATAAGTGATTGGAAAGTGAATGAATTATAGCCTGGAGACCTTTAATGAGTCCTCAGTGGGAGAGAGGATGAGGCTGGAGAAGGGGGTGGTGGGCAGGTGAAAGCAGCTGCAGCTTTCCCCAAAGAGAAACACCCCCCCACACACACTCTTTTGTCTCCTTCCTTCTCCTTATTTCGCTTATCCACCTTTCCCTCTTAACCCCCCCCCCCCCCCCCCCCACCCCCATATTACGGACGCCTGACACAGCACATGTTCAGTCTTTTGTGTGCCGGTGCCCTTTTACTACTCGGTTAAATGGCAATAAATCCATATATGGAGCAGAAGTCCATTTGATGACTACAGTGTTTGCGTGTGTGGACGAATCTGACTAAATTATATCTGCTTATATTTGTGTGCTTTGGGTGTGTTAAGAAGAGTCTTTGAAAGGCACTAGATTGGCCGGCCTGAAAGCAATGAAAAGCATGCTGCCCCAAAACTTGTGCCAATTCTCTCTCACTCACTCACTTAAACATTAGTCCTGCCAATCTGTCCTTTTTGTGCTGTTTTTCATCCCAGTGTCACGGTGGTGCCTGGCGACACAGATCGTGAGAGGAATTTTAGGCCACACGGAAACTTGGTTTGTGTGCATGATTCCCTTCAGGAGATCAAACTGGGTTGCCACAGCAGATTCTTCACCCAGAGCAACTCACAAAATGCTTTAAAAGGAAGGAGGATGTGACTGACAACCAGACGTACTCTGTGTGTGTGTGTGTGTGTGTGTGTGTGTGTGTGTGTGTGTGTGTGT